GTACTGCAGGATTAAATATCTGTACATTATAGACATTCCTGGTTCAGATGCTGGGAGTCCTGGGTACTGGGGAGGGGCTCTCATTTTATTGAACGGCTATTGATCTGTTGTATGGCAGAGTAGGCTAACTTTGAGCTGAGTGGCCGAGAGAACAGAGCCAAATTGAATCGGATGCCATTAACTCGACGGCATCATGATCTGTATATACTTTGGGGTGTGTATATGCTTTTAAAGCTGGAGATGTAAGCTGTAAATGATCTACAGTTCTGATGGCTAATAATAGAATATTGGTCATAAAGTTGTATAACAGACCTGTGAAGTATCGAAAATAAGGGTTCTAGATAAGTGGAACTGCTATGTAGAACACATGTACAAAGTACATATACTACACTGATAATACAAAGGCATTTGACTGTTGCCAACACAACATGTCATATTTACCGCACCATCAAAGCTTCAATGATGTTATTGATTTAGTTCACAAGAATCGTTGCCAGGGAAATGAGGAAATAAAACAGGTTTTTGTCTGAAAGCATATAATTTTGTGGATTTTGAAAATAGAAACATTTGAAAACCATTGAAAGAAGATGTGAGACAGAGAACCTTTGATATAATGAAACTTTTTTAAAAATTAATTTGATATTTAAATTACATTATGATAATAAATTAATCCAATCCCTAAAATTATCTCTTTAAGGAAGTTGTCCTTTTTACCACAAGTTTTCCACCTTATCTAGTGTTGTCCCTTGTACCGAAATAATGTTTCTCCTTAGTTGGAATGTTATCCCGTTTAGCTATAGAGTTTCCCTTCACTACCAAGGTATTCCCCCTTTAGCCACAGACTTTCCTCCCTACGCCTAGTCATTTAGTCATTTGGCCATCCCAAAAACCTTGAATTGTACTCCATACCCTAGATGACCATACATTATGTTAATTGTTAATACAATTTTTTTTTTTATCCAAAGTGATTCCTTATTAACAGAGTTGTCTCCCCTTTCTGACAGTGGAGTTCTCCCAGATCCTCAAAGTTTGACTATTCCTTACAGAGTATATCCCCTTACCCACAGAAAGGTCCCCTTCAGATAGATTATGTCAGAAATGATTTTCTGAAAATATTACCATGATACTTTGATTTTGACACATGGTATGCTGGTGTACCCTCGCAAACTCTTTTGTCTACTTCCATCTTACAACAATAGAAAAAAACAATGGGTAAAATAAGGAAGAGACTTGTCTGTAGACACAACAATGCTGTGACCAGCTGGGAATGTCTGCTGCTGACTAGAGCATATGTTACTAATAACCTACCATCTCTACGCTACATCTATCTGTCTGTCATCATAACTCCACAGGCCCCCAACAGTCGAGCAACAAAAAACATGGCTGTCATCTTCCACAGAAGCCACCTGGACAAATGCTTAAGTATTACTCAGTAATGTAGCACTTGGCCCTCACGAGCCTGCTGATTGTCTCGACTGTGAAACTGGTACTTAAGTCTGTCTGGGGACATACCTCACCAAGACTTACTACCATGACAATAACAATACACTTACCATAGTTTCATCCATTTTATACATTTTATCAATAGCCTTAAGAATTTGTGTTAGGTTCCAAGGTCACAGATCATATAATAATGGATGATATAAAGTTCAAGGGGCCACATCTTTAAGATACTAGAAAACCAAATACATGTATCTACATCCAGATTGTTAAAATCTATTTTGTATTAATGATCCAGGTCACAGAAAAGATAGCTTATCTATAAAAAATAAAAATTGGACATGGGGGGGGGGGGAAGGGGTCAAATCACAGGAACACATCATTAGTAGTTTTAATGTGGGACTTGGAACATATGTAAAACACACAGTGGTGCTACAATATCTATTCATGGCTGAGCCGATAAGGTTTTGTATCTGTGGGTGATCAGTAATCTATCAACATTGCATTAAAATAAATTTAGTGACAGTTTGCATTGCTAAAACCAGGAAACACAAGTGGTGGGACATTCAAAGTATTTTTATCCAAGCAACTAGCTTACATACTAGTTTTACCCTGGACATTGAAAGTATCCCATATAGCAAAATGGAATTTAATTCCCTAACTTGACTCATGCAAACTTTCTTTTCAGAAGTATTGATTAAATTCCTTGATATGTCTGAATAGAGTGAGGAGTTCTTTCAACTCAGCCTCTGAAACAAGCAATTAGGTGAATCTGATTTGGAGATCATGTATTGGTATAAACCAGCGAAACCACAAACAAAAATAAAGTAAAATGTGTAGATTAGTAGGGTATTTTAAGATAAGAACATGTGTGTTGCATTACATACATAATTGATGGCAAAAGATGTGCTCCAGATAGCTTTCCTTTGAGCGCTTTGAAACTAACAGGGAAATGTGGGATGTAACTTGTATCTGGCATATACATGGTGTCAGGTGCTGCGGTACGCTTCTTCATATTCAATTTTTATAACTGATTGGTAATTTATTTCACATTTAGCATGGTGTCAGGCGAAAAGGTTGTCAATGCAGGATACGTGGATTCCACAGGATAAATAGAAGTACACGCAGTCTTAAGGGGATTCTTACAAGGATGTTAGGAGAATTGTGCTTGAGATGAGGATAAATAAGAAAGAAAGAAAAATGTGAAAGTTACAAATTCACTTTGTAACTTTTTCTAAAGTACCAGAATGGGTTTTTTCGGGATTCAATATATTTAGATGGAGGATATATGTTTATGTTTCTACTACCTGATACATGTATACATAGCAATGTATACATTGCTTTGTACACAATCATCTTGTAGATGGATATTCCATACACCGCTGTCATGTACAGTATATGTATGATTAGATACAGGCTGCCAGAGCAGACACAAAAAAACATCTACCTCACACCAGCCTTCCCCCCTATGTCTGTACTACAGTACACTAAACCATATCTACATCAAGCTTTGTAGTTGTCCTGACTTTGATCGTGTACCACAGTGTATGTTTGTATACCAGAACTTTAAACTCGGTAAATAATTGAATACCATTGCTTTGACAACCTTCGATCCTGTTATCATGAATTTCACTTCATTGTCTTTGTTACACAATTATTATCATTTTCATATAGCTATTAAAGAAGCTATACTGATAAATGATGGAGGCTCAAGACCTTTAACATGTTCAAAACGAACAAAAACAGTCCTGCTGTATGCTCTGACCTTAATGGTTTTCAGGACTACATACTGTATATATTGAACTTACTAACCTTCCAAATTTCCATGGGGGAGAAAGCATATGGTTAAATCTATAAACGATATCTTAAAAGCACCTACAATGACCCTTCTTTGTCAAAAAAAGTAACATAAACTGGCATAGTTTGAGCTGTCCTAGGCCATAAATTAATTGAAGTTGAGTATTAAGCAAGATGTAGCAAATCCTGCTCAGCAGTGCTGAATTCAGTAGACAAATATGACCAGAAAATATTTCTCCGAACTAGTAGAGAACTTGGCAAGTAGGTATACATTAATGTTCACAAATTTTATTTTAAAGCTGATTATTTGGAATTGAGCTTCAGATTTTATCTCTTATAATGATTTATTGTTTTTCTGCAATATTACAAACTGATCCTGATATTATCCTGGTTGGACATATATCTGCATTTGTGATTCTTGGTGCACATGAACACCATGCCATGTTTAAAAGCAATGAAGAGAAAACAAGACTGATGTGGTGTTGATAAAGGTAGCCCAGTAATATTTGTATCACCCTGCTGTACCTCCAAAAAACCCAAATCGCTACTCTGTCTGTTGAACATATATTTCTGTAAAAAATGTTTTTATTTATCAGGTAGTTTTGCACATGGAAACAAACTGCTAATGTCAGATGGATGATGGGTCTAACAGCTTACACGAGGTGGATGATGAACATAACCCATACACTGTTCACAATATGCACCCAGTTAATGCACCCCTAGCTTGTATTATCAGTCCAGTCCCATAGATACTGCTTAACATTAAGTAGATAATGATATTGGAAGCTGCAATAGCATTGGGTAGAACCTCCCATTTCTACGGAAAAAAATAAATGAAATCTTTTGTAGAAATTTTATTTCAATATTAGCTGTGTAAATTACATATTTGATAACGATGACATTGTGGAATATATTATCCACAGGAAATCACACTTTGTGCCATTGGTTATATGCATATACTACCTCATTCATGTGTGTTCTGGCTTTATTCATATTTAACCTACAAGGTCATTAGGAAATATTCAGTATATAAAATTTGCCATCGTTATTTTTCCACATCCAGTGTAGAGAAATACAGTTATGAATGACTAATAAAGCATGGTGCCCTAGAAAACCTGTTTAAATTAGTTTAAGCAAACTCTTTAGAAGGTTGACATATTCTTGTCACTTCTTTCATCAAATATACTGTATAATTTAACACATACACTTGGTAGTACAATGTACATCAAGCTGTATACAAAATTTATTTTATAGCCATTTTTCTTTTTCAATTTTTCCTCTGTTCCAGTCGGTAACAAGCATTTAGCCTGTAACAGAATCCGTTTCAATAGGAAGTCCTCATCATAGAGTCTTCCTGTAGGAAGGCTGAATCCCGGTCCGAATTCAGAAGCCAATAAATGTACTGTAATAGTGGAAATTATTGCAGTGTGGAAATGCTGTACTTTTGCATTGGGTAAATAAGTGCAAAAATACCCACATATACAGATTATATAATAGTCATATTTCAACACCATTGCCAACTTAAAAATTTCCATTCTACTATCAGTTTAAAGACGATAACGACCTTTCCACAAATGAGATATTCCAATTTTGCAATATACACAACAAGTTAATTTTTCAGGCGTCTCCAGTAGTAGTTGAACCTTGTACTATTTTAGTAGTAAAAGTGCTCTAAGAGTTCGACTGCGGGGAATGTATATTTTGCCCCAAATTTTAATGCGATCGAATGTGTAATCATTGCTGTATAACATTGTGTATTTCAGGACTCTGACAAGCTACAGGAGGAGGTGAACAAAGTTTACCGTTCACTGAAGTATATCCGGGCCGTAGTGGACAATGAAAAGCTACAGGTTATCCCAAGCACAGCGACTATTGTCCTGGAAACAGTCATGGACGTCTTCACTCTCCTCAACAACTTCTTTCTCACAAAGGACAGGTAACATATTCACTTTACTTTACAAAGTCTTCACACGATATTTACATATGCTTCACAATTATCAGAAAACTGTATGAGGTCTTTTTAATTAACTACAACATAAAATTACTTATATATGACAGTTACCATTGTGATAAACCTGGTAACTATATGCAAATTGAGCAAGATGAATAGAAATGTACTAATAGATCACAGTATACTTCTAGTGTAAGCCATATGTATATATCATGATCTGTTTAGGCATGGAGAATTATGATTTTAAGTGACTGCATTAGATTTGCCCAAATGTGCTGTTTGGCTTCCTTTGTATGGTAACTATTAGTCATTAAGCTGTCTATAGTATTATTAAGAAAAAACCTGTATGTGTAAGGTTCTGAACACAATTTCATGTCTTTGTGGGATGTTTTGTCTTGTGCAGTTCCACCATGCTGTCCCGACACAACAAAGTCTGCCAATGTTTGGCTCGCTTCATACAATGGGCTGATGACATCTTGCTTAATGGCAAGAAGGTGCTCAACAAGGAGGCAGCACATGAAGTCATCACAGCTTTGTCAGATGGTGTAGAGGTAAGTAGTGAGGACATTGATCGGTAAAGTAATATAGAGGGATGCTATGGGGGGACACACTTTTACTACATGTACAGCTCCAAGGTTCTTTAAACTGATAATTGTCAGAGGTGAGAAGACATGCTATGGGGGGACACACTGTTACTACATGTACAGCTCCAAGGTTCTTTAAACTGATAATTATCAGAGGTGAGAAGACATGCTATGGGGGGACACTATGTTACTACATGTACAGCTCCCACGGTTCTTTAAACTGATACTTATCAGAGGTGAGAAGACATGCTATGGGGGGACACCATGTTACTACATGTACAGCTCCAAGGTTCTTTAAATTGATACTTATCAGAGGTGAGAAGACGTGCTATAGGGGGACACAAAGTTACTGTGGCTTCAACAGTTGAGTAAGTCAATTGTTGTCAGAGGTAAGACAGGATGCTTTGGGAGGACACAATATCACTACAGCTCCATCAGTTCTGTTAATAATTATCAATGGTAAGGAGGGATGCTAAGGGGGAACATAATGATACTACATGTACAGCTCCCACAGTTCTGTAAATAATTATCTAAGGTAAGGAAAGACACTACATTCAGTGGCATAAAGGGGGCAAACTATCATCCTAATCCTGTTGGTTTATTACATTGCTGATGATTCCCCCGGGTTGTCATATTATTCATAATATCAAATACCTGATAGGGGATATATGTATTTATTTCCATGTCATTACATATCCTAGCAATATATATATCAGACAGTTCATGGTTATACTGTTTCTGTTTTAATAAAGCTGATCTGATGAGTTTTAATGATAAGTTGTTGTTTCCATGTTTGTAGGAGCTATAAGTTGTTTCCATGTTTGTAGGAGCTGAAGCAGATCAGTCTAGACAAATTACATGACAAGAAGATGAACCCTGCTATGCGAGTTGCTGACCAGATGTATGGTTCACTGGCAGACAGGTGAGGACAACCCCATTTCCTGTGTGTGTGATCTCCCACACGAGTGGGGTGGTAGTAGTGATAGGAAAACAAAAGCAATTGGTTGACATCAAATTTCTCGAGAATATTCTGCTTTCTGTTTGGTTTAGACAAGGGAGGTAAGGACGCATAATTTGTTTGGAAGATGTGTAATTCATCCTATGGGATTATAGATTGGAGTAAATTACTTCAGCTAGAATATATCTATCGTTCCATATGTATAAATGCTTCTTAAAAACAACCTAACGATTTTCCATACTCTAAACATTAATATCTCACCCTGATTTGGAGAACTTTAATACTAACATTTCTATGTTGCTACATTTGATTTGACACAGCAACAAGAGGTCATCACTTCCTGAGATACCTCTTACACCAAGAGAGAAGGAGATCTTAGAACACACTAGTGAGATGGGGATTTACGACAACACACCCTTCACAACTTCACGCTCCAGCGACAGCATCAGTAGCAATCATCGTGACCTGATGATGAGGAAAGAAGTATCTCCACCCCCTAAACCCCCACTTCCCAAAGATCAGGCTGTGATACATAGGTAAAACACATGGTGTTGTGACTCAGGAATTTGATGCAGATAAACAAGAAATGCTTTTGAATTTAATTTTCTTTACCTACTATAATCGTCAAGTCCTGAAAAATTACACACAAATAATTTTTGGAGGATTTTTTAAGCTGAGCATACTGCAAGGACAGAGAAATACACAAAACTGAAATTATATAACTTAATTGTTAGATATGAATACCGATAAGTTTTGTCCTACTAAAATACGATATTGTTTATTTATAGATTGGTCCAACAGCGGTCACAAGAGAGTCTGCCCCCTGGTGGTGATTGTGACTTCTCTCCTCCTCCGTTACCAAATAAGGAAAACAGACGATCTCTTACAAACACATTGGAAATCCTATCCGGCATGCCAAACTCACTGGGCCATGTGAGCCCAAATCAATCCCCACACACTAGTATGATCTACACAAATACGTCCCCAGAACTCTCGTCCAGTCTGGGGCATCTAGCCCTTAGCAACCAGTCAGATCAGAGCATATCCCCACTAAGTCGGTCGCCAGGGAGCAGTCTAGGGTCCGGCCTTAACCGGTCATCAGAGGACTTGCTTGACTCAACGAGCCAGCATAGCAGTCGTACAAACAGCTTTTCCCGAACTTCTTCTGAAGCTAGGATAGGCAGTTCTTTTAGTTCTAGTAATATGAGCAAAAGCTCATCGCAGTCAGATGGAACAGTAGATCAGATTAACCAACTAACAAAAGAGATCAATCGACTGACATCCGACATTGCAATTATGACCAAGAAAAAAGGAAACCAGGGTGATAGCAATGAAGGCCAGGAACCTCCAACACTGCCCAAGAAACTGAATCGTCTGCCTTCCCAGTATGATAACATGAATGAGAGTGGCATCCCACATGTAACGACGGGCTCTGCTGGCAGTAGCCGAGTCGTTTCCTACGAGGCAAGGATGTCATCATCTTCAACAAGTAGTTCCCAGTCATTTGCAGGGTTCCAGATGCAGAAGTCCAACACAATATCTTTCACACAACGTACCAGTTCCCAGGAGACGTACTCCAGCTCAGAGACCTTCTCTAGTGCCAGTCACTCTAGTCTCGAGAGTCTGCCGAAACCGCCACCACTACCACCAAAGAAACGACACAGTATGTATTTCTACTATCTGTTACCTCAAACTTACAGATAACGGCACCATTAGAGCAGATATCTATAAGCACTGAACTGCCTTTCAGTTTGCATTCATAGGCAGTATGAATGATAATAGGAAGCATTTCTGTAATTGTATTNACTATTTTTTACTCAAATTGGTACATATTTCAACAACAAAAATAAATACTGTAGACTCAGGTGACCGTTAAGGCCCATGGGCCTCTTGTTTTTTGAATTTGTTTATCTTACAGAAAATTGAATTACACTTATTATTCAGCATTTAGTTCAAATAATTGTTTATAATATATATTCTTGTTCAATGAATAAAACAGGAGTCTGTCCAAGAAAGTGGTATCCAATAACATATTTATGATGTCAACAATGGGCTAACAACATTCATAGCCCATATAAATGCTTTCTGAATTTGGTAGGGTGATAAAGTGACAATCCCATATAATGGTAAAAATTGCTTACTCAAATTCTGTATCGAAATCACCATTACATGTACAATTAAAGCAATGCCCAAATACATATTGCATGATCAAACGCTTTACCTAAACCATGTAACTAACACTGAAGAATTTAAAAGAGGAAAGAAAGGCAAGTTTGATATTCGTCAGTAGATTGTTACTGCTAATAGGACCCCAGGGATTGATTTTATCTATTATAATCTATGGTAGACTTGTAAAAAGCTTCCTTGCAGTTTTGTTTTCTAATCTGTGTGTACTAATTTTGTGTTTTTAGTACAAGCCTACATGCAGACTTTTGGGAATTACACCCAACCTAGTGCAATAACCGAATGTGTGTACTCGCGTCACTCCATCAACTTCTATGAGTCACAGTGGCAGAACCACCAGATGGACCTGCAGCCTCAGATCTACCCACGCTCAAATACGATTAGTGTTATCTCCGACCTGAGCTCTGACTCCTCCTTCAGTGGAAGTGCCCCTAACAGTCCAATGATCCCTCCCCTACCCACAAAACTCAGGGTAAGTCAAACANTACCCACAAAACTCAGGGTAAGTCAAACAACCAACAGTCCAATAATCTCTCACTTACCCACAAAACTCAGGGTAAGTCAAACACCAAAACTGTCCAATGATCATGATCCCTCACTTACCCACAACACTCAGGGTAAGTCAAACAACCAACAGTCCAATAATCTCTCCCTTACCCACAAAACTCAGGGAAAGTCAAACACCAAAACTGTCCAATGATCCCTCCCCTACCCACAAAACTCTGGGTAAGTCAAACACCAAAACTGTCCAATGATCATGATCTCTCCCTTACCCACAAAACTCAGGGTAAGTCAAACACCAAAACTGTCCAATGATCATGATCCCTCCCCTACCCACAAAACTCAGGGTAAGTCAAACAACCAACAGTCCAATAATCTCTCCCTTACCCACAAAACTCAGGGTAAGTCAAACAACCAACAGTCCAATAATCTCTCCCTTACCCACAAAACTCAGGGTAAGTCAAACAACCAACAGTCCAATAATCTCTCACTTACCCACAAAACTCAGGGTAAGTCAAGCACCAAAACTGTCCAATGATCATGATCCCTCCCCTACCCACAAAACTCAGGGTAAGTCAAACAACCAACAGTCCAATAATCTCTCACTTACCCACAAAACTCAGGGTAGGTCAAGCACCAAAACTGTCCAATGATCATGATTCCTCCCCTACCCACAAAACTCAGGGTAAGTCAAATGCTCAACAGTCCAATAATCTCTCCCTTACCCCCATAACTCTGTGTTAGTCAAACACCCAACAGTCCAATGATACCTCCCCTGCCCAAAAAACTCTTAAGCAATTCAACCCCTTCCGCAACAGTCCAGTGATCCCTCCCCTACTAACAAAACTCTGGGTAAATCCATCCCCCAATAGTCCAATAGTTCCTCCCCAACCCACATAACTGAGAGTAAGTAAGAGTAAGTAAAAACCTCTTAAGAGTGCAGTGATCACTCCCCTACCCACAAAACTCTGGGTAAATCCATCCCCCAATAGTTCCTCCCCAACCCACATAACTGAGAGTAAGTAAAAAACCCTTAAGAGTGCAGTGATCACTCCCCTACCCACAAAACACAAAGGAAATCAAACTCTCAACAGGCTAAGTTAAACTCCCAACAGTCAAATGATCCTTCCCCTTCCAACAAAGCTCAAGTAACACGCCCAAACCATGCATAGCCCTTTAACCCCAACAATCTGATAATGCCTCCTCTACCCGAAGAGTTCTCATTAAGTCAACCCTACCAACATTCCAATAATCCTTGCCCTTTTAACACAAGGTTGGAGAAAATTTTTAAAAACTCATATGAGTGTTTCTATTTCCACGTAAACCTTACTTGGGCTGAACATCATAATTGTGTCCGATGACATTGAGTATATTGTACATATTTTGGTGATCCTTTTACAGGACAACATGAATCGTGACAGTCAGCTGTCAAACACTTCCAGCCAGTCAGATTTCTCTGTGCCAGAGTTTGCTCTTGAACTATCGCGTGAAAAAGCTGCTAGTCTGATAGAGGGTCCAACCCAAGGAGCTACTTCAGATGTGTAAGTAGATCACAATATCTTCGGGTCACATCTCTATATCTGTTGTGTTTCCCGAAAAATGTTTAATAAGCAAATTAATTTAACAACAGTTATTGCTGAAAAATGTATCTAAAACTTACTTTTGCAAATATCAGAAGTGTTTGTGATAAACAGAGTCAAAATTAACAAGGGCCTGGTATTTTCTAAAATTGACTGGTAGAAATATTTGTTCATGTCTCAGAATTTAATCTTTGTTTGGATTATGAATATTTCTATTTGAAGAACATTGTTTGTTACTTAGTCAGTCTTGGTGTATAATTAAGTCAATTAATGAAAGATACTTTTATGTAAAGAAACCTCATCATATTCAATAAACCTTGTCTATCTGCAGAGAGCCGAAGCGCTCTTCAGCTCCTCCAGGACAGATACCAGCCAAGGACATTCTGGCTCTGGCTTCTGCTGCTGACCTCCCAACCATTACCACAACAAAACCTGAGATCCAGCGCGACGCAGACTCTGACTTCGCCGAGCTTAACCCACTCGACGATGTTGATGTGTCTGATCAACTTATCAAGAAGAAAGAAGTGAGCTAAAACACAAAGCTTTGGAATTTTAATAATCGTAAAAATCAACATAAATATGAGTAAAGAATTGTGTGTTGTATTTCTAATGAGGGTTAGTATGGTTTGATGGTTTATGTTATTTATTGCTATACAATTTATTTTGTTCTGTATTGTTTAATCTTTTGTGTATAATGGCTAGACATGTTTAAGAAAATGGACTTCATAATGGATCATTGTGAAATCAGAAATGTACAGTGTATAAGAAATATAGTTTGTTAGGAGTTCAAGGCAAACAAATTAAATAACAGTCATCATTACTATTTGCTTTATCGGAGACAAACATCTACAATATATGATTTTTCTTTATGTTTGTAAAAGTCATACATGTTATGCTTTCGTAGAGTGAGGATGGTCCAGAAATCCGCGGTGGATCTGTTGACGCCCTTGTTGTCCACGCTTCAGCTGCTGGCAAATCAGGTATGATTCATAAAACCTCCATCAATGACCAAGCTTTCATTACAGGGTTGTGTCATTATTGTCTCCAGATATACTACAGAACTACTCGACTACTCGACACTAGTACTGAGAATGATTAACTGAAATCAAAAACTTGTTTGCCTTTTATCCTTAAGTGTTAGATTAGACTTTACAAAATGTGTCCACTACCAAATTAAAAATTCCTTTGTAAAAACCAGGGAGTGTTCTTCACCTGCAATCTGCCACAGACACATCTGTATACCACCCAAGAAACTTATCCTTTAGCAGCCTAAGACATGTCTCCTGTATACCACCCAAGAAACTTATCCTGTAGCAGCCTAAGACATGTCTCCTGTAGATCACCCCAGACGTGTCTCTAGATCAACCCAGATTTGACTCCTGTAGATCACCCAAGACATGTCTCCTGTAGATCACCCAAGACATGTCTCCTGTAGACCACTGCAGACATGTCTCAAGTATATCCCAAGACGTGTCTCCTGTAGTATAGATCACCCCAGACATGACTCTCTGGAGCACTCCAGACATGTCTCCTGTAGACCACCCAAGACATGTCTCAAGTAGATCACCCAAGACAGGTCTTCTGTAGACCACCCCAGACATGTCTCCTGTAGACCACCCGAGACATGTCTCCTGTATGTCACCTAAGGTATGTCTCCTGTAGACCACCCCAGACATGTCTCCTGTAGACCACTTCACTCATGTCTCCTGTAGACCACCCCAGACATGTCTCCTGTAGACCACCCCAGACATGTCTCCTGTAGACCATCCCAGGTATGTCTCCTGTAAACCACTCCAGACATGTCTCCTGTAGACCACCTCATATATGTCTCTTGTAGACAACCCAAGACATGTCTCCTGTAGACCACCCCAGACATGTCTCTTGTAGACAACCCCAGACATGTCTCCTGTAGACCACCCCAGACATGTCTCCTGTAGACCACCCCAGACATGTCTCCTGTAAACCACCCCAGACATGTCTCTTGTAGACCACCCAAAATGTCTCCTGTATGTCACCCCAGGTATGTCTCCTGTAGATCAACTTAGACACTACAACATTAAATTTTCTCACAAACACATTTTATTTGAGACCACCTGACCATTACAATAAGACAATGCCGAGGCGCCCCTGGTTCACATTCCTTTGTCTGTTCCGGTGGGTGTTGACCAGTTTAACCCTGTAACCTCAAAACATTTTGTCTTTCAAAAAATTGTAATTATCATTTACTGTATAATTTCTATAGAAGTAATATAGAAAGTTTTCTATCAGATTTGTTTTCATTTAACTAAACACTAACCCGATCACACTGCACTATCCCAACCAAGGATTATTTAGTTTAGAAAATTATCATGTAGAACACCTACATACATGTAAACCGAACCTATTTTATTGATTATAGTACTCCTAAGTACTTTGTATACCAGAAACTACTTCATTGACGATATTTAGGTAAATGCTGTAACTGGCTGAATATCTTTTCACTTGTTACACTTTATCGCTGGTACAATGTATCATTTAAACTCCATCATAATGGTAGTATGTTGTAATAAAAGATGCAGTTATAAATCAGTGTATCTATTTTAATTTGACATGTAAATTAAGATATCTATTTACAATATATTTCTGTACTCTATTGCAACCTGAATGCTTTACTTTACCTATTTATGCCTGTATATCTGGGTTAAGGGTTGTATGAGACTGTTATATAAGACAGTTTATATGCTGCTATCAACTCTTACTCCTTAGACTATTGGTTGACAAATTTTGCTTTACATTGGAAATTTTGCAATAAGATTCATTACGCTAATGTAAAACAAAATACGATTTAATAGTAGTTAGGTAACTTTTGAAATAGTTATCTGGTAACATTTTAGTAGTTATTTTATTACATATGAAATATGTGTTTGCTTTAAATATAGTTCCTAATAGAAGTTTGTTGATGTCCTAAACATCCCACTCTTTAGATCATCGCTTCTTAGTTATGACCAAAACTTTTTTTTAGAATACAACGTAAATGGCTTCCAGCATAGAAAAATAAGCTTGTCTGGTGCAGCATCCCTCCTCTGTTTTTCAGTTTTCCCTCAAAATGTCACTGAATAAAAAAGATTGGTCAAACATTTAACTTACCACATGAACACCTGGGATATTGTCACAGATGATGTGACATGGACGATTTAGAACCCTAATAGTCCTTTCACTAAGATATTTGAACACTTTGTTTTTAATAGTCAAGTCAAATGAACAAATACCTTTCGCTAACGATAAAACATTTCTAATTTCTTCATCAGTAAGCCATTGCTATTATTACTAATATTTCAAATATATCAAAGATAACAAATAACACTTGATGCTTAAGCTTGTAGAATCATGTTCAAAATCGCTTGAAACATGTGAAACATCATGAAATCTTACCATCAGGAAAGGTGTCATAAAGTCATTAAGTTACACACAATGCAGCGCTGAATCATCACATTTTGAGGACACAGTTATTAGTAATCTAGTTTGTACTTAAGTGAGATTTATCTTTTTTTAGATCAGAGTTTTATCAGAGATGAAATATCCCCAACATAGCAAAAATCGAATATCAGCAATATGATCAAAGCCAAAAACTTGTATGGGAACATTTTGCTGTGAAACTGAAAAAAATATGGTACAAAATGTGTATTCCAAATCTTGATATAGAAATCCGTTAATTTTGTTTCTTAACATTTCCCCTCGAAGGGTCGGACACTGATTTGGCTTCATGTAATCAGGAAGGTGAGTGGTTAGAAAGTGTCATGTTACATATCTACTTGGCCAATCACATCTGTTGTTCCATTGTGTGTCATGAATGATTCCCCACTTATACACCTTTTCCTCATAACTAAAATTTGTAAGCTACAAAGTAATTCTATTGTTTTCGATCTGATGACAAAATGATAAAGTATTGCTGAGTTTATATGATTTTGAAATGAAAATATTTTACTAAACCTCAGTCAAAATTAAAGCTAGAAGAAGCGATACCAAGTGGGGAAGCATTGTACCTGTGTATATAGCCCTAGAGCAATCGTTGGACCTAGTGTGCATGTGTGTATCATTGTGTGTGTCTCAACATGTACATAGCGCGATCATTAGTGTTTATTGTATGTGTGTCTCTATATATGTATACACTGTGTTTACCCTTCCTTGTGTTCCATACATATTACACACCAGCACACACTTAATGACACATGCTCATAATCGCATGATATTTTTTAATCATTGAATAATTTCTTACAGATATTACGGTAATGTTTTATATGTGTACTTTTTCTGCCATAATCTGATGTCATGTTTTATTGATATTATACGTTTAGTTGCCTCTAAGCTGATTTATGAATGCCAAGCATTAAGCATAAGCCCATATAAAGGAATGATATATTGTGATGGCCTGATGCATTTAGGCATTGGGACTTGAGTATTTGGTGCATCAAAGGGACCCTGGATATGACCGTAATTCTCACTGTTAAAGTCCTGTCATTCATTCGCTAGGATTTAGAAGAAGTAAAGTTGATGAAAATCAATAGTTCATAACAAAACTGGATAGAAAATGTATTATTTTCATTTGGTGCGGTAAAAAAAAAATTGACAAAAATGGTCTTGTCTATCTATAACTTTAAAACAACCAATGTTCTCACTGAAATGTAAAAAAGAAATATCAGTTTGACTATGATTTAACAAATTGTCAGTTTAGAAACTCATGTTCCATGATTATGTGACCTTAGATATTAATGAATATTAAGAGTTATTTGCCCTTTTTAGGTCACCTGAGACAAAGTCTCAAGTGACCTATTGCGATCACCTTTTGTCCGTCGTCGTGCGTCCGTAAACAATTTACATTTTCGACTTCTTCTCCAAAACCCCTGAACCAATTTCAATGAAATTTTGCAGGGACCTTCCATGGAAAAAGGTCAACAAAAACAGTTGCCGGTTTAGTCCTAAGCCCCCAGGGGCCTGAGGGGCGGGGCCAAAAAGGGTCAAATTGACTAAAATTTCAAAAATCTTCTTCTCCAAAACCCCTGAACCAATTTCAATGAAATTT